TCCCTCATCTCCTCACAACAGTCACCTTTAAACCCTTACATATTTCTTCTCTATTTTTCTACCTCTTAAATCTATCTTTATTTATAGAGTCTTCAAATCTAATTTCTTTTTGGACAAGAATTTCCCAACTTGCCCACAAAGAGTTACCATATCCGTTTTTAACTATAAAATAACAGTTTAATACACTACAAATTTTGTTCCCAAATCTTCATCCTATTTTCGCAAGTCCTTTGACTTCCAAAACGGATTAGGAACCCTAATTGAATTCGTTCCAAATAACTTGAACTGGTTCTATCTTAATTCACCCCAATTGAATAGGTTTCAAATAACTTAAACATGTTTACTTCTGCCAGAACATAACTTGTGTACCAAATTCGAGCCACAAAATTCCAAAATCTCCACCTTGGATTGGATTCGGTCTTCACGTGTTCTTTCATAGCTAGGGATGTCAACGGGGGTGGTTTTGGGTGGGTGTACCCTCCCATGCCCTGTCCCTGCACAAAACCGCCTAAACTAGGAACCTTTTCACCCTATCCCCGCCCCATTTAGTTCCAGAATTTCTTTATCTTTTTAATTTTTTTTTCCTTAAATACAATTATATAACTATTAAAAAATATAATAAAAAATGGGCAATCAATAATTTTACATAAAATTCAAGGTTATGAGCGTTCTGAGTTCGTAGGACTCTGCCGCTCACTAGAACAGTTGAAAAAGTGAGTAAGTGTGACTTAAATTTTCTAAAACTATATATACTAATAAAATAAGGGTAATTTAGTAATTTATCTACCTAAATGGTGGGACAGGGCGGGGTGGGGTGACCTTCCTGGTCCCTGCCTCGAACCCGCACTGGTTTTTATTAATAAAAATCATCCCTGTCCAAATAAGTTAAACGGTCCCCCAAAATCGCTTTAAACGGGGCAGGGTGGGGCGGGTACTCATCCTCGCGAGGGCAAATTACCATCCCTATACATGGCTTAACCTGGAACAAAAAGATCTTTATGGCTCATCCTCAATTGAAGATCTCTCTATCTTGAATCAAACACTACAATGAAATTGAGAAACACTTTAACAATCTCTACAATTCTCAAATTCCATCATACTTTTTCTTCTATCTTTTATCAACAACTTTACCGTTGTTGTTCAATTGCTCACGATCAATCAACTCATCCTTATCAATTGCTTTTATGGTTCAAAGCAACAAACCTCTCCACACTCTTCACACATCAGCTCTTTATTGGGTTTAAATCAACCCTCTTCATTCCTCACATTATACTTACCCCATCTTGAGAACTAGCATCTACTCTCTAGTTTGTCGTCGTGGGCTTGTATCTTCACATCATCTATCCATCTTCGTGTCATCATCAACTCTGATTAAATCTCCATAGGAACTACCATCAACCCTCTGCTTTGCCAAATTAACTTCACACCAATCTTTTGCCATAATCTTCAAGACCAACCATCGGCTTTGATCCATGCACCATTGGCTTTGATACCAATTATTGGGGATATTAACTCCCACGAAACCACTAAACCACGTAACGGTCTCTTATTGTTGAGAGTTAAACCTTCACCACATATAACGGAAACATCATCAATAACATCAACATAAGCATATATATAGAGACTTCACTACTATGAATTAAGAAAGAAAATATATGTCAAAACCCTTCTCACTCACTCATTGCATCTTTTGAGGTTATATTTATGCTCTGATTCAATGGTACTGATTACCCCATCTGGACTGCCTCCACTACGGGTTCTTTTAATCTCAAGGAAGCTTACCTGGCCTTGTTGGCCCCTTCACTTTTGCCCCTCTGTCGTTTGGTTCATCACCTGGTTGGTCCTGAACTACAGACTCAAGACTAGAGACACTAAGAGTATGGGTCCATCTAACACCTCTACTTCCTGCACTCTCTGCTCTAATGCACCGAACCCCACATGCATATATCTTCAATTACCATTTCTCTGCTACGATTTGGGATTTCTTTTAGCATATGTGTGGTATTTATCATGGCGATCTTAATTACCAGTCGATCGCAGCCTGGATCACCTCCTTATGGAGCCCAAATTCAGAGGCTGGCAACATACGTCTATAAACTTTGTTCAATAGCTGTATCTACTTCTTGTGGAAGGAAAGAAATAGTCGCATCTTCAGTGGGATAAAAGGCATCGGTTGATGAAATTCAGAAATCGATCATCCACAGCGTCAGAGTGCGGCTTCTCTCAATCAAACTTCCCAACTGCAAAAGCTCCAGGAATATTGCAGCCTCGTGGAACCTTCAGAGCACAATCATCATCACTACCTATTGGTGTCTCTCTCCTCTCTCCCCATTTCGATTTTGGCTGCCCTGGGTTTGAGTGGTTTATGTTCTCATTTTGTTTGTTGTTGCCTTTGGGCCTCTTGCTTGGGCTGGCCTTTGAATTTGTCCATGTTGTTTGTTTTGTTTTGTTTGCCTTTGGGCCTCCTGCTTGGGCTTGCCCTTGGTTGTACAAATTTTCTCCTCCTGCTTGGGCTTGCCCTTGCGTGTACAAATTTTCTCCTTTCCAATATTGCATTGATTTACCAATATATATATATATGCTTTCCAGATTGTTTTGTTGGACCCCACTTCTTTTTGATAATAGTACTAATGACTGACTTGTAGAATTTGTCCTGCATGTATATATATATATATATATGTATGTATACATATATATATGCTTTCCAGATTGTTCTGTTGGACCCCACTTCTTTTTGGTAATGGTACCAATGACTGACTTGTAGAATTTGTCCTGAATGTGTAGATAAGAGTTGTGATGCATGCATGGTTCTCAATCATAGTCCTTCGCGTGCATAACCATTGTCTCTATTTGTCATTTTGTTCATTTTTTTAATATAAAAAGTTAATCAGCAAATCTCATAATACACGATTTTTCTAAATTTGATTTCTTGTCAAATGCATACTTCATTCAAGAAAAGAAGATATACACAAGTCCATTGAATCTGAATTTGGACCATGTTTTTCACCTGTCCTTTGCCGATCTGTGCACCATTAAATTCACTGTGCATCACGCTTCATCACAGTACATGTTATTTAATTTACATACACACTGGTGTAACAACAATGTAATTATACACAAGCATAACAATAAAGTAATATATTACATTATGCTCGGCCTGCAACATTATTAAATCAATAATTCAACATTTTTACATTATTATTGTATTAATTTAAAATTCTTATATTAATTATTGGATTAATTTCATTCACATCTTTTTAAGTTTGGCCATTTTTTATTATCTATTATCTATTGAAAATAACTATTACTTAGATCCATTTTCACTTTTTTGTTACGATTTTCATTAAAAATATAGAAAAAGACAATTTTACTCTTAATTTTTTAATCTCTTTTATTTTCAAATATCAAATTATATAATTGACTAATATAGCCATTATCATTACACCTACCGACCTAGGTTCTTGCTTTCCGTTCGTAATCGCAGTTTCTGTTGGAAATAGTGGCCTAGTTACACACACAACACTATACTATTTGGAAGAGAATAGAAATGGAGGAAAATACTTTTTATTTCACTTGATTTATTATTTGACTAGAGTACATGAATATATAGGCCTCACATATGTATGTGTAACCATTACATTTAAATGTCCATAACTCTCCTATGTCCCACTAACATAATCTTCAATATGCATAACTCCTACTAACATAGTATTTGTTAGGTTTAACTCTCATGACTCTTTATTTTACATAACCTTAACTCCCACTAAGACAATTTACTATCCACTAACATGCTAAATTAACACATGCATCATGGATACAAAAATACTTGAAAATACTAAATACTAAAATCAAGTTTATTTTCAACAGTTTCTTGGTTCACAATTACAACTCCATCTGGTGGCTTCATCACCACCCTTGGACGCCTCACCCACCCGAATCGAGTACTACGCCATTGTTTTACAGACCTTCCTGGATCTCGATTTCACAATTACAGCCATGGCCATCACTATAACCCCATGGCCAACTCATTTTCTATTCAATCTCATCTTTCACCACCACCAAAATTTCACGGCCACCCCAGATTCTACCATGTCCCCAAATTCTACTGAACCCATATCAGAATTGAAGGACAGCAAGAGGATCACGTCGGCACCATTGGTGGAAAGGAAGACGATGAACCAGACGAACCAGAGGGCTACGACGCCTCCGTCCTCATCTCCTCCACTCCCATCAACAAGGCCTAGCGCAACGCTTACATCAACGTACCTCTCTCTCCCCGACTTCAATGTCGTCGTCCTTGCCAAGACTGTCCTCGAGCTCACCTGTCCTGTCGTCGTCTCCTGCGCCGACATCATCGCCGTCGCTGCCCGGGATCTCGTTACCATGATGGCTCACCTGCCCCTCCGTCGCCTCCTACACTTGCTCCGTCGCCGTCTCCTGCGCTGAGATTCTCACCGGTGTTGGTGGTGGTGTTGTGCTTGTGTGTGTGTGTGTATATATATATGTGAATGTGTTTATACACATATATGTATATATATGTCTCTATGTATATGTATATATATATATATATACATATAATTTTTAATTTTACAAAATTTTGAGTTATATTTTAGTCTTTTAATGTAAATTTTTTTTAGGATAAAGGTTATTTTGACAAAAGCAAAGGTGGTATTTAACATCGTGTCAGAACTGTCCAAGGGAGTATAATTATTTTCAAAAGAGATTTGAACATGCAAAATGGTCCAACCTAAAAAGGTACGAGTGAAATTAACCCATTAATAACTTATAGTAATTGCGTTCTCAATATATAATTGTTGCCTTGTTAATTTAAACCTATAGAAATATAGAAATAGGAGAAGAATTAACCTAGTAGTACAAGTATATATATACGTACTGAAATAGGAGAAGAATTAACCTAGTAGTACATGTATATATATACTCTGAGCAGGTGACTTGTTCTTTAGGAGATATCCAGCATTAGCTCTCCATACCAAGAAGCTATGGTATTCTTATTGCATATTCTACTTTACTCTCTCCCTCTATTGTTCTTCTCCATATTTTTCCTTTTCAAATGGTTGCCCACTTCAAAACCCCAAAGAAATCTACCACCTTCTCCACCAAAGCTCCCGATTATAGGAAATCTCCACCAACTTGGCTCGTTCCCTCATCGTTCCCTCCAATCATTAGCTCAACAATATGGCCCGCTCATGCTGCTTCATCTTGGCAGCAAGCGGGTTCTTATCGCCTCCTCTGCTGATGCAGCTCGCGAGGTCATGAAAACCCATGATCTCATCTTCTCAAACAGACCTAAATCAAGCGTTGGCAGTAGAATTTTCTATGATAAGAAGGACGTCGCATTCTCTCCTTATGGAGAATATTGGAGGCAATTAAAAAGCATTTCTATGCTCAACCTTCTGAGTAATAGGCGAGTTCAGTCTTACCGGAGAGTGAGAGAAGAAGAAACAACCCTTTTGACCGAGAAGATCAAACAAGCTTCTTCTTCTTCTTCAGTGGTGAATTTGAGCGAAATGTTTGCTTCGCTTTCGAATAATGTAGTGAGCCGGGTAGCCTTAGGGAGGAAGTACGGTGAAAGCTCAAAAAGTGGTAGAAAGTTTAAGGAGCTTTTGAAGGATGTTGGGGAACTATTCAGTGCTTTCAATGTGGGGGACTATATTCCTTGGCTTGTGTGGTTGAATCAAATTAGGGGTTTGAATGCTAAAGTGGAGAAAATTGCGAAAGAGCTCGATGAATTCTTGGAGGGTGTGATTGAAGATCATATGGATAGTAAGAAAAAAGAGAGCAATGGGGGTGGGAGTATTGATCAAGCTAAAAACCAACAGGACTTTGTAGATGTCTTGCTTGAAATTCAAAGAGAGAACATGCAAGAGTTTTTCCTTCAAAGAGACAGTATCAAAGCACTCATAGTGGTAAGTGGCTTTTTTTGGTAAATGATCTGACTTTCACATTAGAATTTGTCACTTGCAATGAACATGATAGTAATTGAAAGGTTTAAATTTTCGAAAAAAAAAAAGTGAAAGGTTTAAATTATAAATTACTCAATTTACATTACCATTATTATTTTTTTGAAACAGCATGGTTTATGACTGTTTGGGAAGTTAAAAATTTATAAAAAGTTAAAAAAGATGAGCTTCCAAAGAAATACTGTTCTTGAATTACATCAAAATAAAAATAAAATAATGTTCTTGCATATATAGTTGAGGCTAATTTGGCAGAATCTTTAAAATGATATGGTTCACGAATTTAGACTTGTGATTTTATATTGAATTATGTGACTGCTTATTTGGCTGCTTTATGTATTTTAAAAGTAATTTTTTAATATAGGAAAGATCGAAAAAAAATAGCATAACTTTTCATTATATAATCTAAACCCTAATATAACTCAATAATTTGAATTCAATTCTATCTATATATCTTCGTTTGGGAGACCCTCTCTATTAAATCTTCAAATAATTAAAATTAGAAGTTACAATTTATTAAATCTTCAATGAATGAGTGATATGTTTTTTGTAAATAAGAACCCTAATTTGCACAATTCACTTAAAACCTTTAATAATTGTAATTTAATTTAGAATTTTCTTGTTAGAGTTAAATTTTAAAGAGATTACCTAACAATGATACAAAAAAGTTGGAATAGTACAAAAGAGAATATATATATAATATAATATAAAAATATTAGTAAAGAAAAATAAATTATAGATAGAGAAAGAAACTCAGTATAAATTATTACCTTTTCCTTTAATTGTCAATTTGTTTTATTTGTTAAAATAGAAAATATGTATTAAAATAGAGAATATTTGTTTTTTTTTTTTAGTTATTCAAGATATAATCTCAAAATAAAATTCGAAAAATCGAGATGTGTAGCACTGTTCGCGTAGAAATTACTGAAACTTGATAATTCTTTTAAGAAAATTCAAGACGTATAGCACTGTTGGTGTAGAAATTACTGAAACTTGGTAATTCTTCTAAGAAGGTACCACTTGCACATACAAAATTTTATTTGTAATTATCCTTCTTCTATTATTTATTTTTAATTTTTTTGCTCAGGAAAATTCTGTTATCTATCTTCTGTTTCCTGTAGGATATGTTTGCTGCTGGAACTGATACTACATCCACAGCTCTAGAGTGGACGATGACAGAGCTCTTGAGACATCCGAAAGCCATGAAAGAGCTACAAAATGAGGTGCAAGGAATAGCTAGAGGCAAGCCAGAAATAACCGAGGATGATATAGAGAAAATGCAATACTTGAAAGCAGTGATCAAGGAGTCTATGCGATTACATCCTCCGGTCCCATTACTTCTTCCCAGGGAATCAACACAAGATGTCAAAGTAATGGGCTACGACATTGCAACTGGCACACAAGTGATTATCAACGCTTGGGCAATTGCAAGAGACTCGTCGTTGTGGGAAGAAGCTGAAGATTTCCGACCACAGAGATTCTTGAAAACTTCAACAGATTTCAAAGGGCATGACATCGAGTTGATTCCTTTTGGAGCTGGCCGGAGGGGTTGTCCGGGAATCCAATTTGCCAGAACTGTCAATGAGCTTGCATTAGCAAATGTTGTGCATCAGTTTGATTTTACGGCGCCTGGTGGGGCAAGAGAAGAGGATTTTGATATAACTGAAGCTCCTGGTATAACTATCCACAAAAAGTATCCTCTGCTAGCCTTTGCAACTCCATGTTCTCTTGCTAGTGTACTTGCTTCATAGTAACATAATGGATGGAAATTGTACTATGTAAACCTTTATGACGTGTAGAAAAAATAAGTGCTTAAATATAAAGATGATAAATTAAGAAAGAAATTATAGCTTTTATTATTAATATTTATAAATAATTCTTTTTTTTTTTTTTTTTTTTTTTTTTTTTTTTTTTTGTATTGCTTCAATTGTTGTTTTTAGACATTCGTCAAATTATTGTATCCGCGTTCATTATACCCATCTTTAACATAATCCCACAGATTATATGAGAAAAAAATAGTCATTATTTTCACATACCAAAAATCATAATTTTCCTCATAAAAAATGGGAAGTGCAGATTAATTGTTGGGCTCCTTAATTTTATTTGCTTGTGGTCGCCATTGCCGTCGATCTTCCATGGGGTTTATTTTTTTGTCAATAATCTTCACACTCAACTTGTTAATAGAATCCAAATCAACTATCAAACTCTGTTAACACTTATGTTGGCTATAATTTCAACCAACCATATTGAAATCAACTACCAAACTCTGATACCACTTATGTAGGCTATAATTTCAACCAACCATAGGGATTTTTTTTGGTATAGAGAGAAGAAGATGATGAAAATAGAACATAATAATCTTGTTGATTTATTGAATGTGTTTATTTTACAAGACCATTGAATGATGTATTCTGTTCTCCCAAAAATCAACAAGATTTGTCTACTTGTAGATTTGTCTACTTGTTATTTCCAAAAAATATAAAATATTTTCAAGGCAATTAACAGCCAAACACTTGATATACATGCATAGGGTTAATAGACACAGAAAACCCAAAAGACATAAAGAAGCACCGCTTTACAATTTAATTTTAAGAGTTTCTCGCCTGATACGTCTACTTGTAAATTTGTCTTGAATAGTTTAGACAAAGGTTGTTATGGATAGTTCTCAAAAGTTTTGTGTTCTTTAGCTTCTAAGATTTTGTTTGTTTGGGCTTATTTTTTCTTCTAGTATCATCCTTCACGTGCATCACCATTGTCTTTACTTGACTTCTTACCGTTACATTTTGCTAAATTTGTCTTCTCGCCGAATGCAAACTTCACTCAAGCTAGCGAAGATAAACATAGGCCTATTTAGTTTCTCCAGAAGAAGTAGAAACTATACACCCTGAGTAGATTAGCTGCCTTCTTCTTACGAAGATCCTTCACAATCAGCTCTTCAGACCAACGAGTTATGGTGTGCTTATTGCATATTCTACTTTACTCTCTCCCTCCATTGTTCTTCTGCATATTCCTTTTCAAATGGTTGTCCACTGCAAAAACCCAAAGAAATCTGCCACCTTCTCCACCAAAACTCCCAATTGTTGGAAACCTCCACCAACTTGGTGTGTTCCCTCGTCGCTCCCTCCGATCATTAGCTCAACAATATGGCCCACTCATGCTACTTCACTTCGGCAGCAAGCCAGTTCTAATCGTCTCCTCTGCTGATGCAGCTCGCGAGATCATGAAAACCCATGATCTCATCTTCTCAACTAGACTTAATCAAGCATTGCCAGTAGAGTTTTCTATGATAAGGACGTCGCGTTCACTCCTTATGGAGAGTATTGGAGGCAAGTAAAAAGCATTTGTGTGCTTAACCTTTTAAGTAATAGGAGGGTTCAGTCTTTCCATAGAGTGAGAGAAGAAGAAACAGCCCTTTTGATCAAGAAGATCAAACAGGCTTCTTCTTCTTCTTCTTCACATGTGAATTTGAGTGAAATGTTTATTTCACTTACGAATGATGTAGTGTGTCGCGTAGCCTTGGGGATGAAGCATGGTTGTTAAAATCGCGATTCTGACTCGTAGAATCGTGCGATTTTGCGATCCAACATGTCTAAATCGATTCGAATAGCAGAAAAATCGTGGCTTGTGCAGAATCGTGAGTTGAATTGCCAGAATCGTACGTAGAATCGTGGAATCGTACAATTACAAACGATCCCAACGATTCTGAATTATCCATGATTGTGGTCTTGTTTTGGGTTTAAGAATTGTGATGAAACCCTAAATCGATTACCACAGTGCAACAATTCCTTCACTTTCGCGGCCTCCAGCACAGCTCCGAGAAGAGATGAGATGCAAAGGGCAAAAAGAATGCTAGGGTTTTGGTGAAGAAGAAGCAGAGGAGGAGGAAAGAGGGAACAAAAGGCTAGGAGAGCTTACCTAAAAAAGATGAGAGGAGCAGCCGCCGGGGAATTGCAAAAGGGAAATTTTGCTCTCTTCATCTGCCGTTGGGGAATGTCGCTCTCTTCAGATGGCAAATTGACCTAGGTTACACTTGCTTAAAAAAGATTGGTCTTGGGCCTTTTACTTTTCTTGTGCTCTATTTGTTCTATTGTACAGCTGGGCCAAATGGGCTTTGCAAACTTTAAGTTTTTAAAGCCCAATGTAATATTTACATTTATATAAAATATGTCTTTCATATAAAAAATTAAATAAATAAATTAAATTTTAAAAGAATCTATTGTAAATTTTAAAAAGAATCTGTTGATAATTTTATATGAACTTATTTATATATATATGTATATATATTTGTGTTTTTGGCTCATTTTTTATTTATTTTGAAAATAATTTTTATTGAGAAAGTTAGTTTGAGTTGTATTTTTATTAATTTGGTAGAATCTTACGATTTACAATTCGATTCTACGATTCTGATTCTACAGAATCCAAAACGATTGTAGGTAGAATCCCGATTTTAACAACCTTAGAAGGAAGTACAGTGGAAGCTCAAAAACTGGGAGAAAGTTTAAGGAGATTTTGATGGATATTGGGGAACTAATGGGTGTTTTCAATGTGGGGTACTTTATCCCTTGGCTTGTGTGGTTGAATCAAATCAAAGGTTTGGATGCTAAAGTGGAGAAAGTTGTTAAAGAGCTCGATGAATTCTTGGAGGGTATGATTGAAGATCATATGGATAGTAAGAAAAAAGAGACCAATAGTGGTGGGAGTACTTTTGATCAAGATGAAAAACAGCAGAACTTTGTGGACATCTTGTTTGAAATTCACAGAGAGAACATGGATGACTTTTCTCTTCACTTTTTTTTTTTTTTTTTTTTTTTTTTTTTTTTTTTTTTTTTTGGGTAAGTCAATTTTATTCAACCTGAAGAAAAAAAACAAACAACAGCACAGGCTACCAAAAGGCAGCCCAAAGACAAACACAAAGAAAGAAAGAAAACAAAACATGTCTTAGGCAATTCATCTTGGTAATGTTGGCTATAGTTTCAACCAACTAAATAATTTCTAACTGAAAAGAGGAGAGAAACAAATATTGATGCATGCACTCACATGATACATGCACTCACTTGATACATGTACATACTTGATACATGTACCCTCTTAATACATGTACAATAACAATACATGAATAAATCTAAATGCACAATGAACATGCATGGCATTAATTTATTTTTAACACATCTCCCTTAATGCCATGTTGTGACACCCAACAACTCTCTAAAGTATTCAAACTTATCTCTTGGAAATGATTTGGTAAAAATGTCTGCAACTTGATCTTCAAAAATTCTCCTTAGCCATAATGCTTGTGACGCTGCCAATGATGCTGAAATATACTCAGCCTCGGCAGAAGATTGCGCCACCGTTTCTTGCTTTGTTCTTTTGAATGGAGCCATCCGGATTGAATTTTATTTTAAAAATCCATTTCATACCAATCACATCTTTGTCTTCTGGCTTCTTTACTAACTCCCAAGTCTTGTTCTTCTTAATCACATAAATTTCATCTTCCATAGCTTTCTTCCATGCCTTTTGTTTAATTGTTTCTTCAAAGTTCTTCGGTTCAACAACACAAAAATTGCAACTTGCATACACATCATTAAGACTTTTCATTCTTCTTGGAGTTGAACTTGGAGATGAGGAATTTGAGTTTGATGGAGAAGTTAGGATTGATTGTAAGCTAGATACGAGAGACATTTCTTGTGGAACTTCAAGAAAATCTTCATTTTCACTTTCTTGATTTCCTGATTCTTCATTGAAAATGGGAATTTGATCTTGAACTTTCTTCTCTTTCCAATCCCAAGCAGCCTTCTCATTAAAGAGAACATCTCTACAAATAATCAATTTATTCTTCTTCAAATTAAAGAGTCTACAACCCTTTGATTTTGAGCTATAACCCACAAAGATGCATTTTTCACTAGCTTCATCAAGTTTGTGCCTCACTTCTCTTGGAACATAAACAAAACAAATACACCAAAAAACTTTCAAGTCGTTTAATGATGGCATCCTTCCACTCCATGCTTCAAATGAAGTTTTATTCTCCACCACTTTTGTTGGACTCTTATTCATCAAGTAAACAGCCGTATACATAAGTGGTATCAGAGCTTGATTTCGATCAAGAGCAAACTGGGCATGAAGCTTATTGACGGGAAAACAAAACCCGAAGAAGATCGATTGTAATGGCGACTACAGGCAATCAAAACCAAGGTGCTCATCAATCAGCACTTCCCATTTTTGGTGGGGAAAATTATGATTTTTGGTATGTGAAGGTGAAGACCATTTTTCTCTCATATGATTTATGGGATTATGTTAAAGATGAGTATGATGAGCCGGAGGATACAACAACTTTGACGAATGCCCAAAGACAATAATTGAAATATCATAAGAAGAAAGATGCAAAAGCTTTAGGCTTGATTCAACGAGGAGTTACTGATACAATATTTTTCAGAATTATCAATGCTTCTAAAGCAAATGAGGCATGGGATATCCTCGAGAAGGAGTATAGAGGCAGCACAAAGGTAAGAACTGTAAAACTCAAATCTTTGAGAAGAGATTTTGAAAATATGAAAATGAAAGAAATGGAATTGTTGAAAGATTATTTTTCTAAACTTATGGAGGTGGTAAATCAAATGAAGACTTATGGGGAAGATATTTCTAATCAAAGAATTGTTGAAAAAATTCTAATTAGTTTGCCAGAAAAATATGACTCTATTGTTGCTGTTATTGAAGAGACTAAAGAACTTGAAAACTTGAGTGTTGAAGAATTGATGGGTTCCATAAAAGTATTTGAGCAAAGGTTGAGTAGGCGCTCCGAAAAGACAATTGAAAGTGCTTTTCAATCCAAGCTCAATGTTAGTTCCAAAAATCAAGAAAAATACCCATCAAGTTTTGATCAATCCAAAGGTGAATCTTTTAGAGGTGGAAGACACGGAAGAGGAAGAAATAATTTTGAGAAAAGTGGAAATATAGAGTCCACTCAACAAAATTGTGGAATTTGCAAGAGAAGTAGACATATTGACAAAGATTGTTGGTTTCGAGGA